CATAGTCTTCCATTATTAAAATAGCAGTAGGCCTATTGTAATACATCAAAAAACAATACGGAAAAAAAAATAAACATACAACTTATTATTAAAAATTTTGGCAATTGTAACAATAGGTAACCTTTTAAATCGCTATGATTTGACAAAAGGAATCTCAAGTTAAGGACACGATCGAAGGTCTATGCCAAGTTGGCATCAAGGAGGGAGCAAGTTTCGAAATAAATAAACATGGGTACATTAGTTTAATTTTAACATTAAACTGAATAATTCTCCAGCTGGTTTTATGCTTGCTTGCTTCCTTAGACTCTCCCAGATTCTTCAAATTCAATTTTTTTTTCTGTTTGAAATGCTGTATGTTATAACTTTGGAGAATTAAATATCTTGAATTATTACTTCATGAAGATTGAAATATGAAGGCATAAAAGGAGACATTCAAAAGAGAACCCTAAAGTAGAAGATGGAGACTAAAGCCAGACACGCATTGCCCCGATGGTCGTAAGCCGATGCACAACAATAGAGAAGGCAATGCGACTACAAGTGAGCACAAGATTGTTTTCAAATGACTTTCTGCTCCGAAAAACGGAGATGGATTCACTGCGAGCATTGTATGATGCAGAATGTGCCAGGTTTCGCAAATTATAATTTGATGCTTCACATGACCCCGTAACCCAGTTTAAGAATTATTCAGTTTACTTAATCCATTGCTTTTATCTACTCTAATTAATTCTTAATTTTTTTTTTTGTAAAATACAACTTTCCATATTATCGTGATTACCAATTCAAATTAAGCTAACAATTGTCAAAGTGTTCCCGATTTTCTTGAATCTGGGCTCAAAAGATTTATCGTGTCTGAGACAGTTAACAGATTGATGAGACTGTCATCATCAGATTTTCGCTATACCTCTTCATAAGTTTACAATGTAAATACCAAATACAAGATTATGTAAACTAATTCATTTATCATAATTTAATATGAAAAGCAAATCGATTTTGGTAACTTAATATGTATCTAGGTTTTTATTTGCCTGTAAAAATACGATTCTTGTGTGTATTTGAATTTGCCAGGCATTTAGAAAAAGCAAACACGAAAGGCATATTACAAGGCAAAGCAGATCTGCATTCTCAATTTTTAATTATCTCCTATCTCCTACCCTAACTTGGGCGGCGGAAGCGGTCTGGCAGGTCAGGTGGCCGCTTGACCAATACTTTGCCGAGATAAATATTATATTGAAATAATACTTTCTATAATAAAAATAAAATTAAAACTTTCTCCTATTTTTAATTTCAGTGACATTTTGTTGAATTACTAATAGTATTATTGAGTGCACTGCTTTAAAACGCTATAAACGTGGACATCAAACAGCAATGTTGGGCTGTTAATGGCTGTGGCGGATTGCAGCCCAACCAACTCGCTCCCAGCCGACTCACCATCCCCCTTCCTAAATTAAAAAAAAAATTATTTAAAAAATGGAGAAAAAAAGACAATTATAATAAAATTTAATTTTAAGAGTGCCATTCCGCCCATCTAGAGTTGCCAAAATCAGAATTTATTCTTGCTTCAGCCACAACCTTGTTGGGGCTAAGTTACTTAGACCGTCTATCTGAAAATCCCTCCCTGAGCCCCTTCTATGTCAAAATCCCTTGATCCACCACTGGATGACACAATGGTTAGTTATCTGGTAAATGTACAGTGTACTTCGACGTTAATAAAGTGCTAGCCTAGTTACGGTAGTTGACAGCCAAAATTTAGTCTAAAATGTCAATGGTAGTCAAATAGTCTAGATATATACTGGTATTTGTACATTTTAATTTACATTTTCATAATTACATAATTTATATAAACTTCATATTTTATGTATGTCATAATAGTTTTATATCCTTTTTTTTATACAATGTAATTCACGTTGTAGCTGTTCTAATTTTATATTGTATTTATAGCATCATTTTATTGCCATCCAACATTTTTATGTATTGAAATAAAAATGTAAGTGATATATGCTGGTGGAATAGATTAGCCTACAATTTTATCTATATAGTGTGAAACAACAGAGAGCCTATATTGTTATTTTATTAGAATTTGTTTTGTTGCTATTGTAATTATATTTATAATATAATATAATGATTATACAGAGTTTTACATCAGCTGGTCTAACATTTTATATTAGTTTATTTTTATTTTGAATATTGTAATTTTATTGTTTATGCATTGAATCTGCGAAATAGAAAAAAAAGTTTTCAGAAGCAAGTACTATAGTATGTCTACCTACTGTATGTTATTACATTTTACTTTTTTGAACACAAGTATGATATAACTATGAGATTTTGCATTATGGGAGAACATAGAGATGAAATGAGCTGTAGCTTGGTGGTAAGATGCTTGCCTTCCAATCCCAGGGTCCTGGGTTCAAATCCTGCAGTGTTGATGGAGTTGAGCTGTATCTTGGTGGTTAAGATGCTTGCTCCCTGATTCAACTGACCAATCAGTGTTGACAAAGTAGGCGATAGAGTGTAGCGATTTTTATGGAACCAAGCTTAAGAAGCTTGCCTTCTAATCTCAGGGTCCTGGGTCCAAATCCTGGAGTGGAGCTATAGCTTAATGGTTAAGATGCTTGCCTTTCGGATATGTTTTCCAACCCTCTAATGTTGATGAATCAGAGCTCTAGATATCTATGCAAAATTCCAGGATCTCTTCTAAAACATAATGAGACCTAAAAGCTCCGTTCACATTGGATTTGTTTTTTGCTCAAATTTATTATGTACCATATCAGTTCGACCAAGTAACTTTAATCCAATGTGAACCTGGCTTTAGTTTACCAAGTATAATACTATAGAGTATATTACGTGCTGTTAGTGGCTAGTCAGTCACTGTCTGATGAAATGTAAATAAATTCTAATTGATGTCGTTTATGGTGGTTTTTTTTTTTCGCACAAGGAATTAATAAGTAGGTCAGTATGCTTACAATCTAATACCGTAATTGTGAATTTAAAAGTACTTCGGTGCAATATAAACATTATAAATGTTTTGGAATTTATGAGAATCATTGAGATTGTCTGCTATTGTGATTCTAACTTAATTAGTTTTCTGCCTTATAAGGAGCAAGTTTCTTAATCTGCATCACTTACTTGTCTCTGATTGGCTGTTTATATATTCTCTTGAAGCATATTCCATTCTTGGAATAGGAATGATTTGTAGTTGGTTTTTTTCAATTTTATGTGGGTTTTTTTTTCATTTGGTTTTCTAATTTGATACATAACCAGTATCCATGACAGAGTTGGATAATTTGATATTAAAATAATTTTTTTCAATTCCGGTCTTTTAAACAAATTTATATAGCCTACTTTCTCTGAAGTAGGTCACTGGAGTTAATATAATCTGCAGTGAATTATCAATTTTGCCTGTTTATTACTTCAAATCAAATAGTGCTGTATTGTTTATTAGAGTTTATTGATGCCACAACAGATTGCCCGAGGCAAAAATTCAATTTAATTAAAAAAAGGTTTTCTGCCTATGAGGAACCCTATTGAATTTTATTTTTTATAAGTATATACTTTATATTATATGGTTTGGGATGATTATATAGCGATATATGTAAAGATACTTTGTGGTGTCTGATTTTGGTCAATCATACCATTGCTTGTAATATCAGTTGGTGATGAATATTGTTTGATTTAGTGATTTTTATTTCTGCATGCTTGGTGGCCCATTCTATTTCTAAAAACTGTGTAGCGAATGTACAGTTCATTCCCCTGATACTGACACCACCCAACCACTGGATCGGCTATAATGTTCGTTTTTTTTTTCTGTACAGTTCTGTTTGTAGAAAATGTGTATTGAACGTTTTTCTGAACAAGCCTGTTATAGGCCTACCTAGGGCGTAGTCAATGAAATATGCATAGCAAAGCCTTGTGGGTTTGTTAAGACTGCCTACACAAAGTTAACATATAATACGTACAGTACCTGTTTTTTTGGCTGTACTACATAGCAAATTTAATTACCAATTAAATTGATACTTTTACATTGTTTTTAATGCATTTTCGGTTTGATAAATTTTCCTAAACACAACACATTCTTCGCCCTCATAATGCCATTTGCTGGTCGGTTGTAAACAACAGGCCGTGCTTCCTAAATTTTGCCCGCCAACTTTTGTAGGGTGATGTTGAAACACGTTCTTCGGTTGTGATTACGTCAGATCATCCAAAGTTTCATAGGGTGTGACAGAAAAAAGCACAGTGTAACCAATTAAAGCTTTAATTAAACAGATTTATTAAAGCAAATAAGAATTTGAGAGTCATGGATTGTTTAACCATAGAATATTATCAGTTCCTTCCTAAAGTATGACATTATGGTGACTGATTGACTACAAAATGATTTTAATAAAAAAAAATTTAGACCAGAATCTAACATGAATATATTAAGAAAGTTGGAGTAGGTTTTTGCTATATAATAGTTTGGTTCTCACCCAGCCTGCTTAAATTGTTTTTTTGTGGGTGTTGGTGCTTCATCATCGTCATTACTAAAATGTAGTACAGAAAAATACAAATTTGAAATTTTGCCAAAATATTAATAAATCTACGATGTTATATTGTTTGCATTTAACTAAATGTTTTTTTAAATGACTTAACCTTTGTAAAAATACAATTATTGTTGGAAATAATTGAGTTGATTGTATGTTATATTAAGAGGTTTAATATGTAGAAAGATGCATATTCATGTACAAAATCCATATAAATTTTCAGTGTTGTGGAATAACTGTACAATGATCAATACTCCCCAGATAATTCTGGAGCACCTCATAAATATTCCCAAAGTAATAAAACAAGAAACATATTCCAACAGACAGACATTCTGAATTTTAAATAAAGTAATGTTATTGCCTACATATGTGCTATCTTTAATTTGTAAGTGATATATATTCATTATTTACTACTAGGGCACATCACTACATTTATGTTTAGCATTTAAATTAATTATATTCTTTATATTTTTTTTTAAATTTCAGAATCAGAGTCATACCTGTGAAGATGTGGAAACTATTAAGGTTCAAGCAGATGAAGAGTTTATACCATTTCAGGAGAATTCTTTGGATTTAGTGCTAAGTAGTCTCAGGTACTGTTATTGTTTAATGTTTTTTTAGTCAAATTATTTTTACCACCATCACTTATTTTAACTATCTGCATCATTATTATTCTCAAGTCCTCTTCACACTTTCAAATTTTATATGACAAAACCATGCGATATGCCTAAATATGGTCATGATATGCCTAAATATGGTCATGATGACATCACATCATGACCATGTATAGGCACATCATGATCATATATGGGGCAAATGACAGTTTTTTAAATATCTGGACAGCTTTATTTCACCATCATTATCCTAAACATCATTACCATATTACCAAATTTCTTTTCTTTTGTATATATATCTTGAAATATTAACTGGAAATATCAATAAAGAATGATTGAAGCATCACTAACATCATCGACACCAAATTTTCACCATTATCAAGAAACATATTAATGAAGAAAATCCTCTTCAACATCTTCCTTCCCTTCAACATTTATTGTTGTCGACATCCATCATTGTCCTCCTCCTTCAACTTCTGTTGTCATCAGTGATCCTCCTTTCTGGTGATGGCGGTTATTTATCAGCTTTATCTTTCACTTTTTAAAAATTATTTTCACACCAACATTATTATAATTTATTATCAGCTTTTCAGCATTTTATCATCATCATTATCCTTATAATCATTATTGTTGTCACAATCATCATTGCTATTAGCTTTCGATTTGCGCGACAATGTGATTCTACAACAGATTCACTCATCCATGACCGTGCTATGTTCTGACAACGTAGATTCAGCCAAACTGTGTTCTAGAAATCCAGATGACACTGAGAACTCAATGTTCTCGAATGCGCAGATGACTTTTTGTGCAATCCAAAATTCTCTATTATCATTATTATCATCATCATCTTTATAATTAATAAATCATTGACCACCGATTCACCTTTGTCATTAGTGATGTAATTATTAAAATATAATGACATTAACAAATGATATAGTCTTGTTAAATGTCAATGTTTTTATTAACATTTATTTCCAATGCAAATTTAAGGCATACTACACTAGTCGATAATGAATGAGAAGGTTTAACAAAATATATTTTGCAAGCCTGTCATGAATCATTTTTAATTATAATTCCATGTGGATGGTATTTTCAGAAATAATTGATTTAATTAATTATAATTAAAACAGGAAAAAAGACATCATCAATTAGAAAAAGATCCATTTCATGATTTGTCGAAATTTCAGTCATAATAATAAAAAAAATCCATAATGCTAATTATAATGAAAGGTTTACGAATGGATACAGACATGGTAAATTATTGTATTTGACTGACAAATGTCTGCTCCGCATTAACATAGCTTTTACTCAAGTTTTTATTTTTCAAACACTCATCATTAAACAAGCCTATGATTGTAATTTGAAGCCAAATGCAATCCTCTTTTTTAAACTTAAGTACATTCTGAATAATCCTAATGTTTCTGGGATTATATTTATTCCATGTTTTTCCGATTGTATTCAATATAAAAGATACAATGAGATCTGTTTCATAGATTTGGATTCAATAAAAATGTTAGTGAACCAGGCATTCATTTGTGCATGTCCATTAGTAGATTACTTTAAATGCAGGTTGCAGCAAATGCTTCCTTTGCCAACATCATCATGTAGTTAATTTTGTTTTCTTGTTCGATTAATTGTTTTTTCCGAAAGTTTTGAAATTAAAGTAGATGGTTTACTTTGAATGTTTTATGATTTACATTCTTTATTACCTATAAGAATGTTTATACTTGAAAACAAGTCATTGACATTCAAATGCAAGGTCAGACTCCGAACATTGTCAATTGACATATCCGGCGACCTTAAACCAATAATGATCACATAATATTTAGTTTGGAACATCATATAACATGTTTTGTAGATATTGAATTGAAATTTTTAATTGATGTGTTCAATAGTAATAATTTTGAAAATAATTATAAAAAATAATTTTTAAGGTAATAAGTAATATTTATTTCATTGATAGTGATTTTTTAAATTTTCAACTATTTTAATGGTGTCATTAATAATTATATTTTTGTAGTCTTTATATATTTAATGTTTTTGTAATTTCATTGTATAATGTTGCCTATTTTAATATTGTATTTTGTCATCTTTTTATGAAAAGTGCATTGAACAGATGTAAATCTGAAAATGCACTATATAAATAAATATTATTATTATTGTTATTGTTATTATTATTATTATTATTATTATTATTATTATTATTATTATTATTATTATCATATTATTATTATTAAAAGTGGGTCTTTACACATTAGGCAAATGTCGTTCTGGCTGGAGAGATTTTTTCAAGTGCGTAATGTCAAAGAAGATAATGATGATGAATGGCATTTTATCCAACATTTTTTAACTTCATTAAATGTGCTTACATTACAGTAAAAACGCTCCAAAAAGCTATGCATTTTCACAAAAATGAGAATCAATCATGTTTGTTTATATTATACCAACAATACCTGTAGGTCATGTGACTTCATTTGCCGACAGTGCCTATATACTTTTATTTATTTATCAGTTATTTACATAGCGCCTTTCTTTTCTCAGCACTTCTGTACTTGGTCATTGGGTCTACATGTGTTGCTGCTGTAGACATTCCAACCCCGGTAACTCAAAATTCGGGAGACTCTGGACTTGCCCTAATGAAGTGCGTCCCACTGCAAAAATGTTAAAAAGTTTTTTTATTATACCTGCATTCAGATCTTTCGAGGGGTTTCCGGCCCGTTGCTATCCGTGCCTGTTGCCACCCGGCCCGTTACCACCCGGCCTTTTGCCACCCGGCCCGTTGCCACCCGGCCTGTTGCTACCCTACCTGACCCTTTGCCACCCTAGGCCCTTTGCCACCCGGCCTTTAGCCACCTGGCCTTTTGCCACCCTAGGCTCGTTGCCACCCAGGCCTTTTGCCACCCAGCCTTTTGCCACCCGGCCCATTGCCACCCAGCTTGTTGCTGCTGTAGACATTCCAACCCCGGGAACTCAAAATTTGGGAGACTCTGGACGTGCCCTAATGAAGTGCATCCCACCGCAGAAATGTTAAAAAGTTTTTTTTATTATACCTGCATTCAGATCTTTCGAGGGGTTTCTGACCCGTCGCCATCCGGGCCCGTTGCCACCTGGCCCGTTACCACCCAGCCCGTTACCACCCGGCCTTTTGCCACCTGGCCACCCAGCCTGTTTGCCACCTGGCCACCCAGCCCGTTGCCACCCTAGGCCCGTTGCCAGCCAGGCCTGTTGCCACCCGGCCTTTTGTCACCTTTGGGAAAGTCGGATATTTATATTATTTTGGTGGGTTTTTTGGGAAAGTCCTAAATGTTTCAAGAGAGTATGATGAAAAGTAGGCAAGTCAAAATTAAAAATATCAATATTGGGATAGGCCTGAACTAAATTATTATAAGATATACTTAATCTACTAATAAACCCTTTTTTTAAAACATTAACTCTGGACTTTGCTAGACCTATACTTTAAAACAAGACTTTGTTAGACCTATACTTGAATATGTTAGTCCCGCTTGTTGCCCCCATTTAAAATGTGATAAAGATAGACTCGTTATTGGTGGCGCTTGGTAGCAGTCACACACATTGTTTTGTCTGTCAATGTTAAGACTGTTTTAACCGTTTTTGTGACGTTAATTGGTTTTGTGACCGTATTTTTTATTATTAAGATTCATTTGATAGAGTCTGTTTAAAGAAAATTTGTAGCAATCGTAACATTTTTGGATTAAAGCCATTGTGAATGATATGGAATTACCTAGGCCTGGTACGGCAGCCGCAATGCTAAACCTGTACCGGTGTGCAACGCTCGTAATTAACAGGTGGTACCTGGCAGAATTTGTGAAGTTATTGTTTCCTCCAGGATTATTATTGGTGCGGATTATGTATCATATACGGAAACACTTCAGCAATTGGGACTCCAAACGATGGCCGATAGACGACTCCATCTTTGTGTTCAATTTGGACTGAAATGTTTAAAATCTCAGAGATACGCAAATTGGTTCCCAATAAATAAAAGTAACCATAATATGACCCTACGAAACTGTAATACATATCAAATCCAAAAATATAAAACTAATAGATATAGGAACAGTGCAATTCCTTTTCTCATCCACTGCCTCAACGAGAGATGCTGAGAATTAGATTGCTAGAAAATACGCGTTAAATTGATATTGCCTATATAACATTGGCAAATGTTTTATTTTTATTGAGGCTGGTCCATATTTTATATTTATAAACATGATGCCTATTTTATATACTTTGTATTTGAATATGTCTTAATTTTAAATAATTATTTTACTAACCTGTATATATAATCAGTATCTATATTGTCTAGTTGTGTTAAGTAATGTTTGTAATTAACTGTCTTGAAATAATTTTTTATATTGTAAATTTTACATTTTGTTACACCATGTAATTCAGATTATATGCTGCGAATTGGTTAGTTGAAATAAAAGATAAAAAAAAAAAAAAAAAAGATAACCCTGTATTGCCTTAATCTTTACATAAATGATCGTAATTCGACTGCATACATCAAATACGAAGATCGTCTGAAAAAGTTGGGTGTTCTCTCTCTCGAAGCCAGGAAAGAATTTCTTTCCCTGTGTTTCTGCTTCTAAATTTTAAATGATCTGACCTCTGTTTTTATCCCGAGGAACATTTTTTACACAATCTGCGTCGCGAATTTTCAACACTTTCCGTTCCATTTGCCCGTTGTAATGCTTTCAAATTTTCATTCTTCTGTACAATTACTGGTCTGTGGAATAATCTTCCTCCCGATGTCAGACAGCTTACTTCTCTCAGTACATTTAAAGCCTCCCTCTTCTGTGCTCTCTTATAAAATTCAGGCTCTTCATCCGTGCAGCGATCATCTTGTTGCTTTTTGTATGCCTCAGTTGTCTTGAATCTTTGAAATTGAATTGAAATTATTTTCATTATCATCATTGTTTAAAGCCTTGCTTAATTAAAATCTCATTTTGTTCTGAATATAATGTAGGTGAATCTCATTGGGAATAGGAGTTTATTTTCCTTTATAGCCTGCCATCTCTATCTAAGAGTAAAACAGAATAAGTAAAATAAATAAAATGGTTTATGCAAATTTGTAACTTTTGATTAAAGTTAATTGCCAAGTATACGTTATGAAGATAATTAATAATTCCAATAAGATTATTAATTATTAAGATTAAGTTAAATTATGAAAAAGTTGGCAATAACTTAAGAGATAAACTCTGGAACGCCTCCAAAATGCAATTATAACATTAAATTGGTCAGTTAGATGGACCGAGTTAGGCTAAGGATCTAATCAAAGACCAATGGTCAAGTTAATTAACGCCACTTAAAAATAAATTACTTGCAAATTTACTTATTTTCGCAGTTTGCATTGGATCAACGATCTACCCGGAACGCTTCATCAGGTAAGATATGTAAAGGATTTATTAACGAGTTTACAGAATTAATCCAATTATTTTCATGGTTGATTTTAATTATAACTATTTTAAAATTTAACTAATTTCTAATTAATTTCATCCAATTTTGAACATTTATTTTATACTTACTAATTTCATATTTCAGTCCTTCCATCCTCAATTATTTTTTGTTATATTTTTATTGCAATTGTTAATTATATTAGTGTTATTATATATATATTGATTAAACTTTACTTGATTTATAACTTCTTCAGGTTCTCCAAATTTATTTTAAACAAATTTTGTTTTGTCATGTATTTAATTCAAAATATCTTCATTCAAATGAATTACTTTCACAAAATGTCTTTTCTTGATCATACTCTAATAAATAAACAAAAGTACAATTGCCTCACAAATCAGTTAATTTTTAATATGCTATTAATTTCTTACTGTAGTTATATAATAGACAATCGCTCTGCATTAAATGTTCATCAAATTTTCCTAGTATTAGCAGTGCTAAGTCAAACAGATATCATAGGCCCACAATTGGTGGCTCTGTGCATGCAAATTGCCTGGGATTTGGTCCTACTCAAGCTCATCTTAACCTCCTGACAACAGGCCCTACATTACTAGGCTTTGGCTTAGCTCATCTAATACTAGAATAATCTAGAAGGATTTGCCTTCCGCCTGACTGATGCACAGGTTACTTGCCCTTAGGCATAACAGTGAGTTGTAGATAATATCACATTGGCACTTTTTTCTCTGTACTTTGTAACTGAATACATACATGACAATACATAAACAAATATACTCTTAATAATAATATTTAATAACTCATTACGTCTCATGCAGCCCAAGGCTATACATTCAAGTAAGCCAGACAACGTTAGACTTATTTTTTTTATAAATTGGTAAAATTGGTACAAAGTACTATTTCTTCCACTCCCTACGAAAGTATATCTAGTCATGCTGCAATGCATTATGTGCTCAACCAATATCATTTTTATGCCACAAAATTCTACGAGGATCCCATACAACTGGGTAGAGGGATACAAATGCGAGTAAATGCCTTGCAAGGACACAAGTGCAATGCGCATTGAGAACTCGAACCCCTGATAGCCTGAACCTTAACTACTGCGCTGGCCGATCGCCCGATTATACTGTATATAGCTATTATAGCATTCAATGTACGATGAATAAAAGACAAATACACTCTTATTGTCAGAAGGAGACTTAGTTAAAAAGATAGATAGATCACATAGTTTGTTCCATTATGTAAAGAGCGGAGTCACAATAAGCAGAGATTTGAGTATATGATTGAGACAGTTTATTGTTAATGAAATAATGATAACACTTGAGTATATTGTTTGTTGACAAGATACTGTTGCATGTTCTGTTTGTTGTTCACTTAAAGCACAACGAAATTGAACTACATTAGTGTATACCGTTACAACTTGCATAATACAATTTGTCAATAATCTGCGGCAATGAAAATAAGTATTATTATATCATTCAAGTTTATATTGGAGACTGCAGTCATCAAGGGCCAATTTTCAATAATATTTACACAGGAAGCAACATTATACGAAAACATAATGATTTTAATAAGCATAGTGAATATAAGTGAATCTTATATTTTCATTTGCTATTTTTATTATTACTGTAATATTTAACTATTAAAATTTACCGTTAATTATAGTGCATGTTTTGACATGTTAGTATAATTAGAATTTTTTATTTTTTTGCAATTGTCTGATTTTTGACAATTTTTGTATATTTAAATTTTTATAATAATATCTTATATTTTTGTAGCTATATTTATAATTGATGTTTAATGTTTTGGAAGTTGGAGTTGGAGGGGCAACAATTACCGGTGATAATAGATTATGTACAACTATTGGCCCTCCTCAGCCTCTTTCTTTCTTCATCTTTGTTTTCTTATGTGATGTATTGTTGCTGAAAGGAATAAAAAAAATACAAATGAAATAGAACTACTGTATTAATGTACTATTAAATGCCTTGAAAATGTGCTGTTCTCAATATGCGACATGCCAGACACGATTTTTTTTTAGCTAAATACCGCTGTCAAACAGGCTATTCAAAAGAATAAGAGTATTATTTAAATAACTGTTAACTGACAGGGATTTTTTTTCACATTGAGCTAAAAAGAAATGTTTTTTCTTTTGTTTTAGATTCACAATTGCTTAAAGAATGATGGTGCTTTCATTGGAGTGATGTTTGGGGGCGACACACTCTTTGAACTAAGATGTTCATTACAGTTAGCTGAACTTGAGCGAGAAGGAGTGAGTACATTCACCTTAAAATTTACTATAGAATGAATACAATTGTATATAAAGTACCGGTGCCTACAGTATGTTTACTTGGTCATTGTATTGAATACAGAATCAATATACTAGACATTATGCGACATTCTCTGTTCCCTACGGAGTGTTCCTGCAACGTGCACGGACCAGTTCAATTCCAAACAACCTAACATGAACTCCTGTGTATCTCGCTTGATGCAGCAACCTACCATGTATCCATTCCCATGAGACCCAAACATATATAATATCTTGCCATTACATACCCCTCTGTCTGAACAGTGTTCGTAAATTTCAAAAAAAGATTTAATTTGGTACGGCTGTATGCTGTACAGGGCTAAGTCTTGCCATGGAAGCAAACTCAGAGATGAGTTTGTATTTGAGAGGTTTGTAAAACACAGAGAGGCTTTAATGCATTTAAACAAAATAAAAGTATTCCCTTCCTTAACACAGATTTCTTTTAATTTTTATTCCTTTTACAATAACAAAAACATTAATTCCACTAACCTAAACTGATTATGATCATCTTTTTTAAATAACCACCATTTTTTTTAATTGATATTTACAGTAAAACCTGAATTTTTAATGCAATTTAAATTTGTACAAAAAATGTGTTAAACAAAATGTTTTTATAGAGTACCAAACACTTATTAACTAATGTCACACGTGAAGAGATAAACTCTAAATCGTCTTGCGTTAATGCTTTATACATAAATAAGTTACATAAATTGTAAACAGTAAAGAAGAGGAATCTGTGACTACAAAAACAATTTCCTGAACCAAGAATCGGGACCTTTTATTGACTATGTATATGCCTTAACCAACTGGGCCATTGAAGCTTTTGGAAGTTTAAATGTGATTGGAGGCAATTGATTGATTGAATTAATGTTTAATTCATGAATACTTACATCTGCAATTTAATACTTTGTATAATTTTCCATTAACCAACTTACAGGTATTTCTATAGGCTTATTTAGAGAGAGATACAATTGATTTGTACCAATGCCTTATGTGGCACAAAATGAAGAATATTAAAAACGTGCTATATAGACATATTTATTTACTTAAATGATCTTTCCTGTCGTGAAGAAGTGGTGAGCATTAATTAGAAGGGATTTGCATGTTGCAAAACATTGCTTAAAATCTCATGAATTGTCACACAAGTCACAAAAACGTAGCACGTTCATAGAATCTGCTTTAAACCTCTTTTGTCACTCTCTGAAAACTAGTTCTCTGAGATAATTAACTTGATATTTTTCACGTTGGAACTCAGTAGGAAACTATGTCATTGTTTGAGCGGTCAAATTCCAATTGGAATTCGGATTACTGACATCTGTTTTTTATGCCTTTTGGCATTTACTTGAAACTCTGTGTATTTTACTTGAAAGGAATCAATATTTGTAATATGCAGTTTACGCAAATAATTTCCTTTAAAATACACAGAAAAAGTGTTGCTATGCTTACTATATTTTTAGAGTTAAAGTGGTATTTTCTTATTCTATGTTATATCTGTTTATTGATTTTTAATGATATATGATATGATATGATGTAATTGATTTGATATATGATATGGTATGATAATTCCCAGGTTGAGTAATGATATAGATAATATTAAAAGCAGAAAGCCCCAGGAAATGGCTTAGTGATATTAATATTTTATGAGGGTTTCAAGGTATCAAAAACTTCTAATAGGCCTACAATTTAAATTATGTAAATTAAAAGAAATATATTTATTAAGGGCAATCGATCAATAAAAAATTATCATTTGGTGCCCCTGGTGTATCTCTGGTGTTTATTCCTGGGTTCGTCCTTGGTGGCTTCCAGGTACGTCTGCTCTCTAAGTCCCTGGTGGTGGCATATTTTTTATAAGTGAGATTGATAGAGTGAAGTTGTTTTCTCTCCTTGACCATGAGTGAACCTATAACCTTGTGTTTTGAACGGCAGTGCCTAACTATCAAACCACATTTCCACCGTAAGTGTACAATACCTTTAAGCTGTAGATTCAATCATTTGTACAGTAGTTGAATAGTTGCTATGGTGATTTTAAGATGTTTCCCCCTTCCTTACATTCTGTTTCCTGTCATTCAAGTTCCATTCGACCTTACCATCAATATTTCTCATCTACCTGACAGCCCAACTACAAAAAATGTTTACTACATTGTGCATGAGTTATGACGGTAGGCGATAAGGGCACGTTTCTGGGCATATATCTGCTTTATGCCCTCTATAGTTTTTTTTATGATATTCAGCCACCATCGGAGGCGGTTGTGTAATTGTGAATATTAAGACTTGAGAATTATGTGTTAAATATCGGTTGTTAAAATATATCACATGGCTCAAAATGTTTAAAAGACAATCCATGTAGGCCTACCATTTTCAGGATCATTTCAAGACAAATTTGACTATAATAGGTGACCACTTTGCTGTTCAGTTCTTTGCGCGTAGGTTTGATGATGCGTTTTAGCTAGTATTACAACACATCTTTTATATATTTTCTGTCAAAATTTGTGATTAATAGAGAAGCTAGCTTGCCTGGAAAAGGCCTGTGCATAAAATTGAATGTTAGGGAGTGGGCTACATGACTATGGGCTTATACAGTACTCAGAGTATGTATTTATATAAATATTTATTTAAGTGTGGCACTGTTTTTTATGGAAGTGTGTTAGGTAGTTGAACCACAGATATTATTTAGAATGACAAATGCCTTCATAATTGAACTAAAGACACATCTCATGTTGAGATTATGATATGTTTGTTTTTCATTTATGTCGTCTAGTAGAACTAATGAACCAATCGAATATCATTCTTAAAGAGTTCTGATAGTCTGCTTCATTAATCCTGCTTTCTTGATTACTTCTCAAAGTGATATGATGGCTATTTTTAGAAGCAGTAGACAATAAGTGCATTGTGTTTTATAGGTGATTTCACAATTTTCTACCTTTTTTTTTTTGAAATGATAGATTATCTCCCATCATCGCACAATATTTGGTTTTAGATTTACACCACTGTAAAATAAATGATTAAAGAAAGACTTTAATATGGTGATTATTTAAATATATGAACAAAAAAACATCTTTATAAATAGTATATAATTTCCTATATTTTGTTTACGTATATAATTAATTCTTCTTGTCTATTTCCATAAATCTTGATAGTGTTAAACTGTCTTTTTACTTATTTTACCATTTGTAAAAATACCCCTAAAAACAATGGAACAATCCTCATGGAACAGAACTTTCATATCACATACTGCAACAATCGTTGAGATTTCCTAAATGTCTAAAACATTTGCGGTTGGATTGAAATGAAATAAAATAACAGTACATTGTTATGTTGATTATAGAGCTAGTCGGCTGAAACTAAGCGGATATTTGAGAAGTTGGCAGGCATGAAGATTATTTTGGTATAATCTTTCCTATTTCCTGTAAGGTCCTTTGTCCTCCGAGGAATTCTCTCCCAACCCGCTCACCCCTATTTTTACATCCAAGGATAGGATAGGATAGGAATATTTTTGGCGGAATCACACCAAAGATAAGCCACTAAGTCCGAAGACTTGTTTCCAGTGGGGTCTTCTGGTGGTGAATCAATCCCCTGCTCTTTTATGATGAGTGTACAGCATACACACAAGACCAACAGCTTAAACGTCTTATCTGAAAGACGGTGCGCTATCGTAACTTGCATTTTTGCCCTCCAGCTGAAACACAAGGGGAGCAGCAATGGGAATTAAACCGGGGACCTAGAGATCTTCACACACAGTGGCTAGCCACCAGTGTATTTGAGTGAGCAAAGCCACTCTCCAAAAATCTATTATCCTGTCTGCATCTGGCTATATTTGTTGTTGACAACCATGGTAACAGTATTTTTTTTTAAATTTATGAGAGTTTTTGGCCTTTATGCCAAATACGTGAGACTTTGGAAGTTTTGATTTTGCATAATTACCGACAATTTCATAGAAGTTCTAATTAACGTGACATGATTGTACAATTAATTCATCATTAATTGAAGTCATTTGTTATGTTGTTGGCATTATAAAACATGATTGTTAGCATGCATGATGCTTCTATTCTGTGTAAGTGAACAGGAATGTTGCGTACAGTACTTGGCATCAAAGTCCCAGACTTGCATTGGTCACGCTCTACAAACGGCTCTTCAATCATCCCAGACGTCTTTACTCTCATTTTATTAATAATTAATGACATTAACTTCTGAGATATACTACCTCCTTGATGTTGACGACACCTTCAGCTCTAAGCTGTCCTAGATACTCATAACTAACTTGAGTAGGCCTACACAGTTTTCCTACCATCAAACATGGCTCTGTGTTTTATTCAAAATAAAAAGAATTTACATATATATAGCTCCCTCTATAGTCATTGTGGAAGAATACACATTTAGATTACAAAGTAAAGCATTGCACTAAATCCAATTTGATCAATTTAATATTTAGTTAATGATCCTAAAATAATTATATCAGCTAGGCTTAATTTACTGCTCTTTAGAAAAAAAAAATACCAAAGTGAGTTTAAATATAAAATAGAGTAATATTATTAAATAATTGTTAATGTATTCCTACAATAATACAAATTAAAAATAGATAATAATAATATTATGAAATTTTAATATTAAGGTTAATAACCATTTTTTAAAGTTACATATCTGTTTTTCAGAGTAATTCTGTTTCTTCATACTTACGTTGAAAAGGTACATTGAGGAATGTAGAGCTAAGTTCAGTCGCTAAAGATAATCTAAGATTTTCTAAATCTTGATAAATGTTTTGGTTGTGTCAGCCACAGCTAATCTTGTGCTGAGAGTATCTACTGACAAGGGGATAATTCCAAGAAGCCTCCAGAATATGTTGATCAAGCAAAAGGTTTATACATCATGCTGTAGCTCTTCAAAACCTACCTATTAACATTACTAATTTTACTAAAATTATTATTATTATTTACATTTGTGAATATAATTTTTTTTTTTATTTTTAC